GTCGTCTTGTTATGTCGTCGATCATAGTATCTATTGCATCAGACGTTCCAACTCCTTTTTGATATCCAAACTGACGTCCATTCAACAACTTATTTGTATTAAGGTGAGTCATTAATTGTACTTTAATTAACTTTTCAAAAATTTTTGATAATACTGGGGGAAGAGCAATTGGTCTATAATTATTTACATCAGATTTTGACAACTTCTTATGTACGGGAATAATTTTTGATATTTTTAATTGATCTGGAAAAATGCCTTGATTAATACATGCATTAAATAAATACGATAAGGGCTCTGCCAATATGTCAATATTATCCTTAATTATTTTTGAGGGCATATCATCGTAGCCACTTGAATTTTTATTTTCCATTTTCTTTACTACAGAGGTTACTTCTGATACAGTAGTTTGTCGGAGCTCAATGTTTTTTTCAGGCTTCAAACCATTTCTGTGTAATATTGCCATTGCTTCTTGAATATTTGTAGTATTTATTTTTTTACTGCAATCAAATTTATTAGAAAACATTTCTATAATTTCTTTAGGATCTTTGATAGTTATATTATTTGATTTTAGTATAATTTTCTCATGTATAGTCGAAAATTTGTTATTTCTATATTTATTTACAACTTTCCATATTTCTTTGTTGGAGTTTTTACAATTATTTATACTATTTTGCACAGTGAACGTTTTTGAATGTCTAATTACCTTCCTGTAAATATTTATGTATTTTTTCCGATAATTATATAAGCTCACGTGGTATATCCTTTGATTGTAGTTGCAATGTTAATTGTTTATTCTCCAAGAGTAAATTTTCTATTTCGGTATGAGCTGATTTTAGTTCAATATTGAGTGCTTCTATCTGTTGTTTCAATTCAGCCGTTTCTTCACTGTCTTCTAATGAGGCAATATATATATATATATATATATATATATATATATATATATATATATATATATATATTATATATATATATATATATATATATATATATTCAGGACCAAATAGAAAATTCACTCAAATATAGTTCATATGTGAATCGAAACCATATCGAAACGCATGCCAAGTGTTGAGGTGAATGAATGAAATAACGACATGTGCATACCCATACATTCAATTGCTTTGTATCTGGGACTCTGAACTATACATTGACGATATCTCTTGCAGTATATTGACACATGATACGCTGTTTTGTTACGAATAGCAAGTGATGGATCGATAATCGATACAAACATTTAAACTAGGTATTTTCATTTAAACAAGTGCATTTTCTTCATAAAAAAGTGACTTTAAATGTAAACTAATGAATGACGAAATGTTTTATAAACACATTAGATTGAAAATATTTTAATTAATTATGCGACAACGGACAAATAGATATATTTTGATACACAATAAGTAGTTTTTTTTTTTTTGCTTTACAAAGCGAAATAGAAATTTCCATCGTCATAAAATAAATCCGGGAATAAATTCTGTCGATTCCGAAATGATTCATAATAAATTTAGATGAATTGAAAAACGCTTTTTTTTTGTAAATCGCTGATTTTTTTTTATACATTATTTATCATTTGTAAGTCCCTGAAAAAATATTGCGTCATTATTTATTAGGGATTGTATTCATTATTAATACAGTATAAATATTCACAGAATATTATGTTGAAAACGACTGGATTTTAATTAAAAAAAAAATTTTTTTTTTTACAACTTAGAATGGCAAACAAGCTGACGGCCCACCTGATGAAAAGTGGCAACCGTCGTCTATAGACATGAGCAGTACCGTGAACATAACAGAGTGTACTGTTTCGCCAATGATACCCCCCATGTATTGCCATTCCTGAGGACTCAGGTGTTATTCCTCTATACTCAGTAAATAAAATGGTTATTACTGTAATCCCTAATATCGTAGTCACAGGCGTTTGTCGACTATTTTCGTTGCGGTGACTGCAACGCTCTCGAACCCATAGTTAGTCAAACAAATATAAAACTTTATTTACAAAATAGATGATGGGGAATTGAACATAGGAGATATGTTTCGCTCCCTCCTAATACTTTTAATTGGGGGGAAAGGGATTGCTAGCAATGGAGTTTGACAGCCTCATTGCTAGCAATATGCCTTATTAGGTCGACCTCCACGTGGTTCCCCCTGGAGACCATCGTGAATAATTCTTGTTGAAATCGTCACGATGGGCTAACTGACCTACTTCATCCTCACCTGTCATACTTCACTGGTGCCCCGCCAGTGTATACCGATAGCGCGGATGGGGTTACCATTCCATTATCATCCATTAAAAAAAATACTTTTAATTAAATAAATTTATAAACTGCAATTTTCATTATTGAAGATTTAATCTCATGTTTAAACGGATACACAAAGGTTTTGTTTTCGGTCAAATGCTGACAATTTGACGGTCAACGACCAATTGTTTTATTTTTAATTTTCGTACCTATCTGTATTCAATACCTTTAATCTCCCTCTTTATAGCATACAAAGGGCTATGTCAAAGTTAATTTTTTTTTTTTTATTTCATTATTGTACTATAATTACACTGTGGGTATTAATTTATAAAGGCTGATTAGATTTGTTAAGATGATACTCGAGACCTTCATGGTCGTAAACAGAAAAAAGAAAACAAGTATTGTTATTATCTATGGTTATGATCTCATGATAGTAAAATACAATATATAGAATAAAGAATAGCCGATAACCATGAGATCATTTGCATAAAAACATACATACCTCTTAAAAATAACATATTTTTTTTTTATTAATTTATTGGCTAATCCTTTATGTTAAATATTGATATAACAGTGACATGCAGATGTTACTTCTAACATTTCTCATATTATATCTAAAATGTTGACTTATTTACAGCGTAGAATGATCAGGCAAAATCACGTTGAATCTCATTTATAAACCGCAGAAGTTTGAAATATTAATGATAATCTCCAATTAATTTTTTATTGTCCTCTTATTTCACTAAACTAAATTAATTAATACTTACCATGTTTCTTGTAAATAAATAAATAATAATTGAGTAGATCCTGACATAAAATATGTCACTTCCATTCCCGTGAATGTTGTAAGAGGCGACTAAGGAGGGCGAGAGATGAGCAGCAGCGTCCCTCTTAAGACATCTCCATAGCCTAACTGCGGTTACCAATCTGACAAAACTCCCCTTATGAAGCTATGTTCAACAGTGAACAGTCAATCGCAGATATAACATACAACAAGTGAATTAGACGAATCAACAAGTCAGGAAGATCTGATCAAAGGCATCTCAGCAAGAAGGAACAAGGGAATGTCTTCAAACTAATGATGGTCTTAAAGGCTGTACAATCTGAAATCTAAAGTTAAATGTGGTTTTAGTTATATGGAAAATCTTGTTTTCAACTGTTTTTAAAAAGAAGGAAGTACTCAATTCGATCGTATTTTTAATGTAACTCATAACTCCATCCGTTTTGAAAAACCACTAATTTGAAAAATTCTATTTTACTTATAGTTTGATCCAATTTAAATTTTATCAAAATCATTTCAATCGTTTATTTTAAATTTGATTTAAAAATCTATGATGTTAACCAAATTTTTACGTCCATTTAATTAATTAACGCATGAGAGGAAACAACCGATATTAAAAATTTCAATTATCGTATTTATTTATGCTATTTTATCATAAAAAAAATATGAGTTTATCGTTTCAATATTCTCGGCACATGCCGTAAACACGGTACAGTTCGATCTGTGGAGGCGCATTGACCTTGCATCCGATGGACGGTTACGAATTAGTATTATTAACCAATTTAACGACGTATTAACAGAGGCACAGTATTATACATTTAGATCTTTAAAGAGATATAAGCAGTTTCAGATATTCAGTAAATCTTACTAAAATAATAAATGTGAACATTTTGATGTTTCCAACTGATTTGCGCTTAAACGGCCCAACACATTAACCATAGTCCTCAGGAATACCCATCATTCGTAATGAGTTAACTAATGTCCATGGTGCTAAGGCAGCGGTTACCACTTGCCATCAGGTGAGCCATTAGCTCGTCTAGCTTCTTAATATTAATAAAAAATATTTAAATTGGATTTGGTCCATATACTTGAGGACATACTAGAATAACGTTATCGATCTGTACAAAACTGGATAGCTAGTTATCAATAGATAATAACATGAACTATAACTATTACAAAAATAGCTCTTCTCTTGCGAAAAACATCAATATTTTACCGTTATTAATTAAAATCTAATGTGTTCTATCGACTCTTGATGGTTCGTTACCACGAGCGGTTACGCAAAGCGTCTTGACACCGTCATCTGGACAGCCTTCGAGTCGAGCCAGTCAGTTACCCGCAGTCGGTGCGCCGGCGCACCTGCGCGTGTCTCCGCCAGTCGCCATATTCAAATCCGTTGAAAGCGTGTTGTGTTTAGTGTTTACCCTTATGTGTTCGGAACTATCTCTCTTTATTCTTTAAAGGGATTCTTTTTGGATTAGTTCCTTGTTCTGTGACGGATTTTTTGAACGCTTCTCGCGGTGAGTTGTGTAGTTGTATTGTATTGTATCTCTTTGACGGTTATGACCGTTGTTAACTCGTCGATAACGTGTCTATTAGGTTTTAATGTCAAACTGTCAGCATGTTGTCATTATATTAGTACGTAATGACACCTAATAAATGTCTAATACCTATTTATTAGTGTTTCTATTAGATTTATCAGTCGTTAAGCATTTATCTATATCATTACATGCCATCCGCAATGATTATTTACATTGTGAAATCATTATTTTGTAGTTCATGTTTAAATTAGGAAGTCTGTATTAATTTTAATTTTTGTTTCCATAATTTCATATATAGACGCATCCGACTCGTATATTCTAATTATGTGTTCATAATTATATATATATATATATATATATATATATATATATATATATATATATATATATATATATATAATAATGAATATGATTCTATTATATATTTATACAAGTGTCTCTTTACAGGTCTGAAGTAGAGTTACTCGATAAATTATTAAAATGGTGAGTTTTAGAATTTAACGTCAATTAATGAATAGGTTTATTTTATAATAGGTAATAGGTTTAGTTACTCGGATCATTGTTTTCTTGGAGTTCTTTAGAATTCCCTTTTAAGGATAAATGTAGGTAAACGCCTTTATTAACTATAGCTCTATTTTAACTAAATAACCTATAACTGTATAAAGCATTTTTAAATACAGTCAGATAGTTTCCATTCCAGGTGATGTCTATAAAAACAGACAGACGAACAAAAAACCTCTACAAATATCTATAAAAATTAATCCTCTCCATGGTTGTTTTTGTAGCTATACATATGTTACGTTCTCCGTTAACCTGTTATTAAAAATGCCGTTCAAGTTTTATTAAGAATTGGTTTTTAAATGTTAATGTTACACATTGCGACTATTCGCATATAATAGGTAGATAGGTAATTTATTTGCATTACTTACAACACACAGATAACAACATACATACACAGTAAAAAGAGATAAAAGAATGCATATACAAAAAAAAAGCAAAATATATACAACAAGTAACTTTGTTCTTCTTTCATGCGTGTGCCATAGTGACACAAAATGGTCAGAACTCAGTTTATTGTTTTGCCCCCAAAAGAGCAAAACACTGATATTCTGTTGTGGCCAATATAAAAATATAGGGGGGAAAAGGATTGTTAGCGATGGAGTTTAACAGCCCCAATGCTAGCAATGTTACTAATTGAGTAAGGTCGACCTCCACGTGGTTTCCCCTGGAAACCATCGTGGTTACTTCTCGTGGAATTCTTCACGATAGGCTAACTGACCTGCTTTCATCGTCCTCTATCATCTATCCTATCACTGGTATCCCGCCAGCGTATACCGTTGGCACAGGTGGGGTTACTATTGCATTATCACCCATTAAAATAAAAATTAAAATATACCTTTCAATATTCGACTAATATACCATATCAACCGTTAACTGTCCACTGCTGAACATGGGCATTCTCCTATTGGGGAGGGGAGAGGGGGGAGGGGGGGTTGTCAGTAGTTGTCACGCTTGGCAGGCGGGTTGATAAAGGCGGCTAGGCTTTGATGATGCCTTATTTTATGAGTGAAAATGGAATGGTAACCCCGCCTGCGCTATCGGTATACACCGGCGGGACACCAGTGAGCGATGATAGGTGAGGATGAAAAGGTCAGGTCAGTTAGCCCATTGTGACGAATTCAATGATAAATTTGTCACGATAGTTTCCAGGGGGATCCGCGTGGAAGTTGACTTGATAGGGTATATTGATAGCAATGGGGACTAACCTCCCCATTACTAACAATCCCTTCCTCCCTGTTTGTATATATTAGTATCTATATAATAGTGCGCCACCTACCCTTTGTCTTTTTTTTAATGTCTTCTACCCAAAGGTTCTCTGGAAGAGATTGCGGAGCGATAAGGCCACCTTTTGGATATCAGCAAAATTAACTATATTTATTATTTTAATAAATGGTACAATAAAGTGTAAATAAGTAAATACCTATGCCCCGCAGCCTTGCCCGCGTGAATTTGAATTAAAAATATTGTGTTTGCGAAATATATTACGACATATGTATGTATATATGTTCATGCATACGAATCTCAAGACACATAGGTACACAACTTATATGTATTTTCATTTATTCATATATGTGTATGAATTTACATTGAGTTATGTATGTTTAATGGAAACTAGTTGTATGACTGTCATATTAGTTTCCGTTTGTTGCATTTGCTTACAATTTTCGCATAACCTTGCCTAGAGTTTCACAAGATACTTTCATAAATGCGAAGCCACTAGGTAGTGAAACGGGTTTCTAAGTCAAAAAGATATTTAAATTATACGATACAGTTTAAACTGAATCCATATTAGGAAGCCTGAAAAATATACAAAAACAATACAATTAGTTCAATCATCATCATCATCGTCATCATCATCATCATCATCATCATCCTATGCATTATCTGTGCACTGCTGTACATAGGCTTCATCCATAGACTACCATAAGGAACAGTCCTGAACCAACTGCAATCGTTCAGTTTAATTACATAAAGATTAAAGTTTTGTTGTAAAAAATCTTTGTAGCTACAATATAATAGGTGTTTATTTTAGGAAAGTCGAACTGCTAATAAAATATTTAAACGAATAGAATAGAATAGAATAGAAAATCATTTATTCAAATAAACTTACATTGAAGCACTTTTGAATAGTCATTACATTTTTTTTAATCTACCGCAATTGCAATACACGTTCGGATACTTTTTAAAACTTTTACTCGATAGTTTTATAGTGTGTAGTAGATAAACTAATATCGTATTCTAATATCGTCATAGTCGTAGAATACTGACGGATCTGACAAAGATTACATATAAAGATCCGTCAGTATTCTACGACTATGACGATATGATCGTAGACGCTACAAAATATCGGTAATATTCAAGATTGGTAACGATTAATTATAATTACGCAAAGTTTTAATTAAACGCGAGTAAAACCAGTCTCATTCTTTCACTTTTTATGTTGTACTCACAGCATACGCGGCTTCATCCGCGTGGTTGTCGATAATAAATTATAAAGACATTATTTTTAATTGTTTCATTATTTTAACAACTTAAGACCGTTATTTTAACAAGAAACTCTTGAGTGGCAACCCCGTACTGGCAACTGCAGTGCAGGACGACCTCCCACTAGATTGCAGGAGGTCAGTAAATGCTGGTTACTCGGGACCGTTCCTTAACGCAGTTTATGAAAGAGGCCTGTGTTCAACAGTGGGCAGATAACGTCTAATATAATCGTAAACTTCAAGAAAAGAGCATATTCCTTTTTAAAAGGCCGGCAGCACACTTGCAATTCCTCTGTTTTTCTTTTCTTTTCTTTTCAATTTCTGGTGTTGCGACGGTAGTCGCTTACCATCAGATTAGCCACAAGTAATTATTATGTATCTAGTATTAAATATACTAGATACATTACCAGAGGGAGACTTTGTACAAAAGTCGATTGCTTGGGTACCTCTGTCCCATTCGTGTTTCAACCGTGAAGCAGTTGTGTTTGCATGGCTGTATTTCGGTTTGAAAGGTGGGATATGGCGTGAATTTACTGGGTACAGGAGAATAACACCTGAGTCCTCAGGAATGGCAACGCATGGGGGGTATCATGGACGAAACAGTATACTCTGTTAAGTCCGTGGTACTGCTCATGTCTATAGGCGATAGTTACCACTTTCCATCAGGTGGGCCGTCAACCTGTTTGCCATTCTAAGTTGTATAAAAAAAAAGTTCTTATATTTAATAATTTAATTCTATTTTAATGTTTATCAAACACAAGGCATGCTGTGGTTGCCTATAAATGTAAGAACAGTTAGATTTAATCTACCAGTGTATTGTACTAAAATGTTTAGCTGTATCTTATGTTGATAATTCTATAAATAAATAAATTAATTATTTATATTTATAATAAGTTTACTATTGTAATCTTTTGAGGGAAACAATAAAGAGTATCTATCTATCTACCTGTTCTGTAGTGATAGGCGTCATAATTGAAATCACGGTTTTTTTTTTGGAAGTTAAATTTACTTGTACAATAACTAAGTCGTGACATACAATATGGTTGGGAAGATGTTAATCTAGCCTGTCGCAACATTATATGCATTATCTTTATTAACTGATAAATTGTGATACACGATAGAACATTATATGGTGTAGCACGTCCTCTATCTCCGCTACAAACACAAATTACAACAAACAACTGTACGTGTAATATATAATACTCACGACTGTCATCCTTACGGGGTAGGTAGAGGCTATAGTTTTTAGAATGCCCGACATAATTAAAGCCTAACGTAAAACACATGATAACCTTAGCAATTTTTGATTTTTAATTTAATTAAGGATTGCGTTCCACAAACATAAACCGACTCCAATTATGGCGAAATCAAATATTTTCATTAAAAAAAAACCTTTTATTTTAATTTAGAAACTAACCTACTGAACCGATTTAGATAAAGCTCCTATAGAACAAATATGAAAGTATAATAATATATAAGTATTATAAATATAAAAAAATGTTTAAAAAAAAGAATTTTCCAGATCAGTTTATAACTGACAGATAAAAAATACCAAGAATTGGGAACCTCCTCCTTTTTCGAAGTCGGTTTAAAATTAAACAAAACCTTGTACCACACCGTCATTCCAGCATGGTAGTATATTTCTCTAGATACTCGTGCCTAGCAGTGGGAATGTTAATAGATTATTATGGTTTTTTAATGGGTAAAAATGGAATAGCCCCCGCCTGCGTCATTGGAATAAGTTGCCGGGATGCCAGTGAGAGACGATAGGTGAGGACGAATGCAGGTCAGTTAGCTCATCATGACGAATTCCACAAGAATTAACCACGACAGTTTCTGGAGAAAAATCGTGGAGGTCGGCTTGACGGGGTGTATTGCTAGTTATGGGACCGCTACACCTTATACTTGGAGGAAAAGGGATTGTTAGTAATTGGGTCTAACTGCCTCATTGCTAGCAATGTATTGTATCGATCTCCACGCGGTTCCCGCTACAAACAATTATGGTAATTTCTTCTAAATGGAATTCGTCACGATGGGCTAACCGACCTGCTTTCATTGTCACCTATAATGCCGTACTAGTGCCTCATTTAATTATCACTCATTAAAAAAAAAAACACATTGCTGTCCATTTAATATCTCTTTCTCCCAGACTGTTATGGTATACCATATTGATACGGAATTCTAAAATCGGCGTTAAAATTTACTAAGTACCTAAGGGAGTATACCAGAGGGTGACTTTGTACAAAAGTCAATTGCTTGGGCACCTCTGTCCCATTCGTGATTCAACCGTGAAGCAGTTGTGTTTACATGGCTGTATTTCGGTTTGAAGGGTGGGATATGGCGTGAATTTACTGTGTACAGAGAAATAACACCTGAGTCCTGAGGAATGGCAACGCATGGAGGGTATCATGGGCGAAACAGTATACTCTGTTATGTCCA